AAATGGGGTAGAAACATGAGTGGTGACCACACCACATCACAAATTTCCAGACCCACCTTCTCATTGGCTGAACCTAGGTACTGATCTGACGATGGGGCCCCATCGTCCAAACCCTTAGCACCTGGTTCGCTGTTTCGGGAGGTAGCCTTTTAATGAGGGGGGTGTACATGCGCCGGATAAAGGTTACGTACTCTTTATATGCCAAGGAACCATACATATTTTTAAAAAGAGGTATGATAAAGCTCGTGGAGCAGGGAGAGGGAGAACCCATTGGGCGGACAGTGAAGAGGCGGGCCGGGAGCTTAGTCTCGACCCCTGCAACCACAATTGGGCGAGTAAAATCGGGCGAGTACACTTCTCTCCACCGTTTGTTGTGGTGGGAAATAGTGGAAAAAGGTCATGTATATCAGTACGTTGCCTCTGTACCGATATTTGACAGTTTTTGTTGACTTATAGTAACTCATATATGTTGTGTTGAGCTGCATGTGCTATTTGTTGCAACACCTGGCTGCCATGACAACAATGTCCTCAACGTTTCGGAAGCAAATTACAGTTGATGGGATGTGTGTAATTCATCAACCTGTCGGTATCGCATAGCATTGATGGGATATAGTACTGCAGGTGATGGTTAGCGGGGGGCAGTCCTCGTGTATTTTCTAACGTCAATGAAACATAGCCTTGTATCCATGCCAGGGTAAAGGGATGACCTGTCACTGACTCCTCAGTGAAGAACTATCATGTGACGCTGCATCTCTCTCTTCATGTTATAACATTATATCTCTCTCAGTAGGACGTGACCACCCAAATGAGCCACAGGATATTATAAATTTATTTTTTAACAAAAGTGGTAGTGCAGTGTTATCAAGTGAACAACGCAGCTGGCAGTACACTGCAGTAAAGTATTTTTTCCGTTATTCGTAATTGTCAGAAATACCGTATCGTAGTTCATTTTCTGCACTTGCAAGGAAATATCAAACCGTAGCGTTCCATACCGTACCGTTCTGCCAACCTTAGTGAAAAATGAGAGCGGACCGGGTTCCGTAGTGAGGTACAAAGATAATTTGTATCGCTTAAGGTGGCTGACAATCCTTAGGCGTTACCAAGAGCTGTTGCTCACTATTTAAGTAGGTACTTACACAGAGGTGAGCTACGACAGTAATGAGGGTGTACTTCCGCAGGTGCCATTTAAGATAGAGTACCTGACCAACGAGGTGGTGGTGAGCGAGATCAAGGTGCAGGTGAAAGGTCCTTCAGGACCCGTCAGGGTGGAGCTGGACATCTCTCCCAGGGGTGGCAAGGGCGTCTTCATCCCTCAGGAAGTTGGCATCTACGAGGTGAGGCACCCCCCATTCTCTTTTCTCTCTCTCTCTCTCTCTCTCTCTCTCCTCCCCTTCTCTCTCTCTCTCTCTCTCTCTCTCTCTCACTCCTCTTCTCTCTCTCTCTCTCACTCTCTCTCTCTCTCTCTCTCTCTCTTCTCTCTCTCCCCCCACTCACTCACTCACTCTCTCTCTCACTCACTCTCCACTCTCTCACTCTCTCTCTCTCTCTCTCTCTCTTTTCCCCTCTCTCACTACTCTGCTATTGTTATCAACATTAGTTATTTTAATACCACATTGTTTAATGTTAATGCCTTTACTTATAAACTTAGTCACACGTTTATCTATTTGTACTTTATTAATTTGACCTGCCATTATATATATATAATATGTCGTTCCGAATAGGTAAAACTGGTCATTAGGAAGAACTCGTTTAAAAATAATCCTTTCTAAAACTTTCTTTGTATGTTTAAAAATGTTCTACATTTATGTTAATGTAAAAATTAATAATTTTGTCCCAAAATGAACCTTAGAAACTTACCTAACCTTACATAACAAGCGCAGTTTAACTTAGCCTAATCCAGCTAAATACATTTTAGATAAATTAAAACAATAATTTAATAAAATACAATGAAATATATATATAATATATATTATATATATATATATATATATATATATATTTTAATATATATAATATATATATATGTCGTGCCAAATTTAGGCAGAACTTGCGATCTTGGCTTAAATAGCAACGTTCATCTTGCCATTTTAGGACAAGTGACAATTTGGTATGCAATAATTTCCCCAAAAATCATTCTGAACCTAACGAAAAAAATATATTTCACTGTGTTTGTTTAGTATTTAAAAAATTGTAAAAAAATCTAAAATATATTTTGTTGGGTTAGGCTAAAAAAAATTGTTCTTGTTATAATAAGGTTAGGTAAGTTTTTCTAAGATTCTTTTGGAGAAAATTAAAATTTTTTACATTAACATAATGAAAAAAAATTTCTTTAAGCGTATAAGAGAAAAATTTCAGAAAGAACTTAATTTTAAATAAGGTCTTCTAATTGACCAGTTTTACATATTCGGCAAAGACATTATATTATATATATATATATATATATATATAAATATATATATATATATTAATATATATATAAAAATTTTATAACCTCCATGGTATTGCATTTCAGCTGAAAGTGATCAACGAAGGTGAGGTGGTTGAGGGATTCCCGTGAAGGTGAAAAGCTCTTCTGACGTCTCTAAGATCATGTTCTTGGCATCGACCCGTGTGCCCTGGGCTCCAAACGCGAGGTCCTGGTCAGTGTCTACCCCCACACAGGACACACAAAACCCCCCCCCCACCAAAAACATCACAACACAACCCCCAAGGTTGTCCTGTGTCAGTACGAGACCCGTATATTCTTGCTAAATAGACACACCCTTTTATGTTAATCTTATTAATATGTTAAATGTGTTAGTCTTTATATTTTGGGGTTTAAGTCAGGTTATGCAGAGCTAACTTAAATTCGGGCGTTTTGCAAATGAATAAAAATTTACTAGACTTGGTAACTCTCCTGAGTCAGCGAAACGTCCTGTTAAATATCTTTTGAATAAGACACATGTGCAAAAATTTTCCTGTCTTTGTTTCCCAAACGTTTCGCCTGCCCAGCAGACCTTCCTCAGCCGAATAGAGAGGTAGCTATTATAGTGAAGACAGTAGAAGAAACTATGAGGGTTCAGTAGCTGAGTGAACAGCACTGTTCAACAGCACTGTTCAACAGCACTGTTCAACAGCACTGTTCAACAGCACTGTTCAACAGCACTGTTCAACAGTAATGTTCAACAGTACTGTTCAACAGTACTGTTCAACAGCACTGTTCAACAGTACTGTTCAACAGTACTGTTCAAACAGCACTGTTCAGCAGCACTGTTCAACATCACTGTTCAGCAGCACTGTTCAACAGCACTGTTCAGCAGCACTGTTCAACATCACTGTTCAGCAGCACTGTTCAACAGCACTGTTCAGCAGCACTGTTCAACAGCACTGTTCAGCACTGTTCAACAGCACTGTTCAACATCACTGTTCAACAGCACTGTTCAACAGTACTGTTCAACAGTACTGTTCAACAGCACTGTTCAACAGCACTGTTCAACAGAACACCTTGTATCAAGGATAAGCTGTTCCGCTCTCTCCAGTATAGTCAACCTCGGTATTCGACCGAAGAAGACGTACCCCTCACTGGAGGTTCCTGGATACTGATGAGGGGCTCTTGATCTTGGGAATTGGATCTGTACTTCAATTCCCTGAATTAAGCCTGAATGCCTTCCGCCCTCCAGCCCCACAGGCTGTGCATGATCCACACGGCTGTGGTTCTCAACTCGTGTCAGTCCATGGACCACCAACCCAGTTATCAAAATATTCTGGACCATTTCATTTTGTGAGTAATGATATATAAAGTCAAAGACAATAGACAATTTGGTTTGGAATATATTTCTTATAAACAAAAATTCGAGAAGTTATATCAAATAATAGATATCTAACATTTTGGTCTGAAATATATTTCATACAAATATAATTTCCTGGAAATAAATGGATATATATCTAACATTTTGCTGTGAAATTTCTTTCTAACGAACATAATTTTGAACATATGAAGTACAGAGCCAATATTGTTCCTTACAACCAGACTTGATGTTAGGAGTGGTCCTTGATGTTAGGAGTGGTCCTTGATGTTAGGAGTGGTACTTGATGTTAGGAGTGGTCCTTGATGTTAGGAGTGGTACTTGATGTTAGGAGTGGTACTTGATGTTAGGAGTGGTCCTTGATGTTAGGAGTGGTACTTGATGTTAGGAGTGGTCCTTGATGTTAGAAGTGGTACTTGATGTTAGGAGTGGTCCTTGATGTTAGGAGTGGTACTTGATGTTAGGAGTGGTACTTGATGTTAGGAGTGGTCCTTGATGTTAGGAGTGGTACTTGATGTTAGGAGTGGTCCTTGATGTTAGGAGTGGTCCTTGATGTTAGGAGTGGTCCTTGATGTTAGGAGTGGTCCTTGATGTTAGGAGTGGTACTTGATGTTAGGAGTGGTACTTGATGTTAGGAGTGGTACTTGATGTTAGGAGTGGTACTTGATAATATTAGGAGTGGTACTTGATGTTAGGAGTGGTCCTTGATGTTAGGAGTGGTCCTTGATGTTAGGAGTGGTCCTTGATGTTAGGAGTGGTCCTTGATGTTAGGAGTGGTCCTTGATGTTAGGAGTGATCCTTGATGTTAGGAGTGGTCCTTGATGTTAGGAGTGGTACTTGATGTTAGGAGTGGTACTTGATAATATTAGGAGTGGTACTTGATAATATTAGGAGTGGTACTTGATGTTAGGAGTGGTACTTGATGTTAGGAGTGGTACTTGATGTTAGGAGTGGTACTTGATGTTAGGAGTGGTACTTGATAATATTAGGAGTGGTACTTGATAATATTAGGAGTGGTACTTGATGTTAGGAGTGGTCCTTGATGTTAGGAGTGATCCTTGATGTTAGGAGTGGTCCTTGATGTTAGGAGTGGTACTTGATAATATTAGGAGTGGTACTTGATAATATTAGGAGTGGTACTTGATGTTAGGAGTGGTACTTGATAATATTAGGAGTGGTACTTGATAATGTTAGGAGTGGTACTTGATAATGTTAGGAGTGGTACTTGATAATGTTAGGAGTGGTACTTGATAATGTTAGGAGTGGTACTTAATGTTAGGAGTGGTACTTGATGTTAGGAGTGGTACTTGATGTTAGGAGTGGTACTTGATAATATTAGGAGTGGTACTTGATAATATTAGGAGTGGTACTTGATGTTAGGAGTGGTACTTGATAATATTAGGAGTGGTACTTGATAATGTTAGGAGTGGTACTTGATAATGTTAGGAGTGGTACTTGATAATGTTAGGAGTGGTACTTGATAATGTTAGGAGTGGTACTTGATAATGTTAGGAGTGGCACTTGATAATGTTAGGAGTGGTACTTGATGTTAGGAGTGGTACTTGATGTTAGGAGTGGTACTTGATAATGTTAGGAGTGGTACTTGATAATGTTAGGAGTGGTACTTGATAATGTTAGGAGTGGTACTTGATAATGTTAGGAGTGGTACTTGATAATGTTAGGAGTGGTACTTGATAATGTTAGGAGTGGTACTTGATAATGTTAGGAGTGGTACTTGATAATGTTAGGAGTGGTACTTGATAATGTTAGGAGTGGTACTTGATAATGTTAGGAGTGGTACTTGATAATGTTAGGAGTGGCACTTGATAATGTTAGGAGTGGTACTTGATAATGTTAGGAGTGGCACTTGATAATGTTAGGAGTGGTACTTGATGTTAGGAGTGGTACTTGATAATGCACAACGAACATCACTTTCAACTGCAAGCCGTTTACTCTATTTGGACTTAATGTGCAACAAACATAAAAATTCACTCTCACACAAGTAAGTTGATGTAAATGGCAAAAGAAATCTGGATGTGTTGACATGTCTGGGTAAGTAACAATCATACTGGCCCAAAAAAAATTCTATGGTAGACCGCTGGTACACATCTTTAGCTGCCAAATAATTGTTCAGGTCTAAGAACTCCTGCATAGCCTCTGGAACACCATGAACATCTGTATTATTATAATAAAGAAAGAAGCGCTAAGCCACAAGGGCTAATGAACATCTGTAATGAATGGATTCCTGATGAAAGAAAACCCATCCCTTGTCACGTCCACCTCCGGAAAGTATCGCTGAAATTCATCCCGCAGCTTTTGTAAATGCTGGAGAATATGCACCTGCATGGCTATCTTTGCCCCTAGCATGGCATCCACACATGGAAATTGAACTAAATTTTTAATTTCGACTTTACTGATCCAGTTCTAATTTCTCAAGAAAAGCCTTGATGATTCCTTGGTGAGAGAACAGATTTGCTCCTTTCCCTTGCAGCTGAAAATTCAGTTTGTTCAGGACACCAAAAATATCGAAAAAAATATGCTAGTTCTACTTCTGACAGTTCTAGCATATTTGTAAAACCTTCTTTCCCTTGAGACTGGAGAAATAGAATAAATTCTCTCAGTTCAAACATTCTGTCGAGTACATTCCCTGGTGAGAAGCACCGTACACATTCCCTGGTGACAACCACCGTACACATTCCCTGGTGAGAAGCACCGTACACATTCCCTGGTGACAACCACCGTACACATTCCCTGGTGACAACCACCGAAACACTTCCCTGGTGACAACCACCGTACACATTCCCTGGTGACAACCACCGTACACATTCCCTGGTGACAACCACCGTACACATTCCCTGGTAACAACCACCGTACACATTCCCTGGTGACAACCACCGTACACATTCCCTGGTGACAACCACCGTACACATTCCTTGGTGACAACCACTGTACACATTCCCTGGTGACAACCACCGTACACATTCCCTGGTGACAACCACCGTACACATTCCTTGGTGAAAACCACTGTACACTTTCCCCTGGTGACAACCACCTTTCACATTCCCTGGTGACAACCACCGTACACATTCCCTGGTGACAACCACCGTACACATTCCCTGGTGACAACCACCGTAACACATTCCTTGGTGAAAACCCACTGTACACATTCCCTGGTGACAACCACCGAAACACATTCCCTGGTGACAACCACCGTACACATTCCTTGGTGACAACCACTGTACACATTCCTGGTGACAACCACCGTACACATTCCCTGGTGACAACCACCGTACACATCCCTGGTGACAACCACCGTACACATTCCTGGTGACAACCACCGTACACTTTCCTTGGTGACAACCACTGTACACATTCCCTGGTACAACCACCGTACACATTCCCTGGTGACAACCACCGTACACTTTCCCTTGTGAAAACCACTGTACACATTCCCTGGTGACAACCACCGTACACATTCCCTGGTGACAACCACCGTACACATTCCCTGGTGACAACCACCGTACACATTCCTTGGTGACAACCACTGTACACATTCCCTGGTGACAACCACCGTACACATTCCCTGGTGACAACCACCGTACACATTCCCTGGTGACAACCACCGTACACATTCCCTGGTGACAACCACCGTACACATTCCTTGGTGACAACCACTGTACACATTCCCTGGTGACAACCACCGTACACATTCCCTGGTGACAACCACCGTACACATTCCCTGGTGACAACCACCGTACACAAGAGTACAACAGCAACACCTCAAAGTCGGGACCCATGTCCTGGCATAATTTTCTGAATACATAGTCTGGTGTTCACTACTGACGATTTGATGTAATTAACCACCTTCACCAATTCTTTGAAAATGGTGTTCAGGTAATCAGGTAGTGTTTTTGATGCCAGTGCCTTTGTGAATGAAACAGTTAACTCCGGTTAATGGATCACACTGTTTCACCAACACTTGAAAGCTTGATCTTGAGTGTAGCATCCCAGGTGCACCATCAGTGGTAACATCCACCAAATTTACCCAATCCAGATTATTTACTTCAAAGAAATTGTTAATTTCTAACATATCCTGAGCCTTTGTGATGGTATCAACAGTCTTACAAAAGATAAACTCGTCTTTGAAGTCTCCCTCAGCCATGTATCGTGCAAATACCAATAGCTGAGTAGACACTGAGACATCAGTTAATTCCTCCAACTGTATGGCAAACAATGAATTTTTTTTATTTCATCCACAACTTATTCACTGATGTTTTGTGAGATCTCAATTATCCGTCTCTACGGTGTCATTAGAAACTGATATATCATTCAGCTTCCATGCTGCGTCGTCCTCGCCGACAAGCCTCACCATTTCTTTTGCACAGGGTAGCACAAGTTTCTCTACAATCGTATGAGACTTATCCTGTGCGACAGTGTAGGAAGCGAGCACAACATTGGTGGTTTTTTCATAGAATGTATCTGTCACGTCAAGGCGCTGCTGCTTGAAAAGTGATAACAGCCGCTCGAAATAATCTTTATCCTTTTGCAACAAATTGGGGTGACACTTTCCAAGACGGAGTTAAAACTTAGCTGACTTCAGTGAGTCATTCCCCAAAACTTTGAAACAAATAACTCACTGTGGTAATTCCATGCCATCTTCTTCTTGACAGGTGAAGCCAGGTTTAGTGTTGTCCTCTGAATACTGGCGCTTAACATTCCTGCCATTGCCATGTATCTTTATCTGTGGACAATATAACGAAATATATTATATGTCCAATTTGGCATTAATAAAGATGTGAAAAACAGAATTTAATACACATGTAATAATAAAACACTTATGTTTATAAACCGCATAAACCAGCACAACACAGCACACAGCAGCATAACACAGCAGCACAACACAGCACACAGCAGCATAACACACCAGCACAACACAGCACACAGCAGCATAACACAGCAGCACAACACAGCACACAGCAGCATAACACACCAGCACAACACAGCACACTGCAGCATAATACAGAGCACAACACAGCAAAACAGCAGCATAACACAGCACACAGCAGCACAAAAACACACAGCAGCACAAAAACGCACACAGCAGCACAACACACAGCAGCACAAAAACAGCACACAGCAGCACAACTCAGAACACAGCAGCACAACACAGAACACAGCAGCATAACACAGCAGCACAACACAGCACACAGCAGCATAACACAGCACACAGCAGCACAACAACACACAGCAGCACAACACAGCACACAGCAGCACAACTCAGAACACAGCAGCACAACACAGAAAAACAGCAGCATAACACAGGCGCACAACACAGCACACAGCACATAACACAGCACACAGCAGCACAACAACACACAGCAGCACAACACAGCACACAGCAGCACAACTCAGAACACAGCAGCACAACACAGAACACAGCAGCATAACACAGCAGCACAACACAGCACACAGCAGCATAACACAGCAGCACAACACAGCACACAGCAGCATACAGCAGCACAACACAGCACACAGCAGCATAACACAGAACACAGCAGCACAACAACACACAGCAGCACAACACAGCACACAGCAGCACAACTCAGAAAAACAGCAGCACAACACAGAACACAGCACATAACACAGCAGCATAACACAGCAGCACAACACAGCACTCAGCAGCATGACACAGCAGCACACAGCAGCACAACACAGCACACAGCAGCATAACACGGCACAACACAGCACACAGCAGCTAACACAGCACAACACAGCGCAAAAACACAGAACACAGCACACAGCAGCACAAACAGCACACAGCAGTATAACACAACACAACACACAGCAGCACAACACAGCACACAGCAGCATAAAACAGCACACAGCAGCAGCACACCAAAAGCACAACACAGCACACAACAGCACAACACAGCCACAGCAGCACAACACAGCCACAGCAGCATAACACGCACAACACAGCACACAGCAGATAACATAGCACACAGCAGCACAACACAGCACACAGCAGCACAACACAAAAACAGCAGCACAACACAGAACACAGCAGCCACAACACATCACACAGCAGCATAACACAGCAGCACAACACAGCACACAGCATAACACAGCAGCACACACATAACACAGCAGCACAACACGCACCAGCGCATAAAATAGCACACGCAGCACAACACAGAACACAGCAGCACAAAACAGACACAGCAGCACAACACATAACACAGCAGCACCCAAAACAGCACACAGCAGCAAAACAGCACAAAGCAGCACAACACAGAACCAGCAGCAAAACACATCACACAGCAGCATAACACGCAAACACAACAGAGCAAACAGCAGCATAGCACAGCAGCACAAACAGCAGACAACCAGCCACAGCACCCAAAAGCATAACACAGCACAAGACAACCAACACATAAAACAGCAACAACACAGCACACAAACAGCACAACACAGCACCAGCAGCATAACACAACAGCACACAGCATAACACAGCAGCACAACAGCACACAAAAGCATAACACAGCAGCACAACACAGCACACAGCAGCATAACACGCAGCACAAACAGCACATACAGCATAACATCAGCACAAAACAGCACACAGCGCATAACACAGCAGCACAACACAGCACACAGCAATAACACAGCAGCACAACACAGCACAGCGCATAGCATCAACAAACAGCACACAGCAGCATAACACAGGGAGCACAACACAGCACACAGTACATAACGCACAACACAGCACACAGCACACAACACAGTACACAGTAGCATAACACGGCACAAAAAGCGCACTTAGATAACACAGTACAACACAGCACACAGCATAACACAGCAGCACAACACAGCGCACAGCAGCATAACGCAGCAGGGACAAACACAGCAACAGCAAACATAACACAGCAGCACAACGCAGAACACAGCACACGTAGAACAGCATAACACGCACAGCAAAACAGCAAACATAACACAGCAGCACAACACAGCACACAGACATAACACAGCAGCACAACACAGCACACAGCAGCATAATACAGCAGCACATAGCACACAGCAGCATAATACAGCAGCACAACACAGCACACAGCAGCATAACACAGCACACAACAGCACAAAACAGCACATAGCAGCCAACCCGCACACAGCAGCATAATACAGCGCACAACACAGCGCAAAGCACCAAACACAGCACAACACAGACACACAGCAGCATAGCAGCACAACACAGCACACAGCAGCATAATACAGCAGCACAACACAGCGCAAAGCAGCATAACACAGCACAACACAGCACACAGCAGCATAGCAGCACAACACAGCACACAGCAGCATAATACAGCAGCACACAGCAGCACAACCTAATCTTCCTCTCAGCTTCCATTTATATTACATTTTATACGAGAAAACCTAATCAGCTTCCACCACACCTGTAAAGCACTGCAGGATGAAAAAAAACAACTAATCAGGTTTCCCCCACAAACCCGAAAGGCCCCTGCAGGATGAAAAAAACAACTAATCAGCTTCCACCACACCTGTAAAGCACTGCATGATGAAAAAAAACAACTAATCAGTTTCCACCACACCTGTAAAGCACTGCAGGATGAAAAAAAAAACTATTCAGCTCAGTAGTTCAGTGTCTACTGCACTAAACGAAGAAATTACTGCAGCCGGGCTGACAGGAATCGAACAGGGATGGCCCGCGCTCTCACGCACGCACACCACACACACACGATGTCACGAACCAACTACCTCAACATGCAAGGTTCACATGATATCGCTTCCGCAGTTTGACTGTCGCTGCATTTAACACGGGCGAATCCATTATCCGACCACTCCCATTCACGCTGGTCAATGCGTATATCGCTGATCCACACATTATTTTCGATAAATTTAAGACTATATGCACCAATCTTCAGTTTATTACCAAATATAGTGAACGTTCTCTGGACCACCCAAAATGTCACCATGGACCACCAGTTGAGAACCACTGCCATCGCTTCCCCACAATAATAATGATGCGCAACTTGAAATAGATACCAAAGTGTTGCACATGTGTCCTGTTCATCTACTCTTCTTGTATACCACTAATAAAATAAGCTGACATTACCCACCTGTGTGCCCATCTGTTGCATTTTGTTGTCTCAGTCACCATCTAGTTTCATGTTGTCCTAGTCACCATGTTGCTGTCCTAGTCACCATGTTGTTGTTCAGATCAACAGTAACGGTGCCGGGGGAGGGGACATAGAGGTGACAGCATACTCACCCACCAAGCGACCATTGACGTGCCCCGTCAAGGTGGAGGATGGTGTGTACGCTGCCACCTTCCAGCCAGACGAGGCTGGTCAGTGGTCCATTGCTGTCTGTTACGACGATGAGCACATCCAGGGCTCACCCTTCACCTGCCACGTCTACGACCCTCACAGTCTCAAGGTAAGTCCTGTACCTCCCACGTCTACGACAGTCACAGCCCATGGCGCCCCTGCTTTTCACTGGCTCTGTCTTGTACTCTCGTATCTCTCATTCCAGTACGTTATATTGTAGTGTGATGATTTTGGAGTAGGCCCCTCCAGTAGCTTGCTTGTGTATATTATTTATCAGGCATCTCGTCTTCTCTCCAGAAAGTACATTACCAGTTCTTTAAGGCGTTCTCAGTAGTTGAAACGTCCTCTTGGCTTTGTGTTCAAGGCATTTAAACTACTGGGAACCCTTCATAGTACTTTCTAAAGAGAATTAGGTATGCAGTAAATACATAGAAGATTCTGAAGAGCCTCACCCCTACCGTAACAACGTACTGGAGTGAGAGGTATGAGAGGAAGTGTAAGACTTAGCTAAAAGCAGGGGCACCATGGGCACAAGAAGAAAAGTATAAACATCCGTGGACCTTGCCTATCCACCCTGCAAACAACAACAATCAGAAATATTGCCAGAATAAGTGTGGATGCATTAAAGAAAATGGAAATCTTAGAACAGGTCACGGGTAAATCACAGGTATGGAAGTCAGCGGGAAAAATTTCTAACTAGTGTAATTATATATGGTAGATATCCATGTGCAGCTTTCTAATTGACCTGGTAATGAGCGGAGACGCCAGGTAATGTGAGAAGCTCCACCGTGTTCATATGTGCACTTAATGACTGCCAGACAGTGGTGACTACCAGCCAGTAGTGGCTGCCAGCCAGCCAGTAGTGGCTGCCAGCCAGCCAGTAGTGGCTGCCAGCCAGCCAGTAGTGACTGCCAGCCAGCCAGTAGTGACTGCCAGCCAGCCAGTAGTGACTGCCAGCCAGCCAGTAGTGACTGCCAGCCAGCCAGTAGTGACTGCCAGTCACAGTTTTTCAAGTTATCAGAGTAAATCATTATAGAAATAAATAACATTGAGCCTGACATTGACGGTTGTTGTATCTTCCCAATTTTCAGCTCCACGGCTTGGAGAAGGGTCCACATTCTGACGCTGGGAAGTCCTTCACCTTCGTGGTGGACGCTACAGAGTGCGGGTGGGGTGACGCCAAGGTTGACGTGACGCAGGGAGGTCGTTCACTACACTCCAACACGCTGGAGGTCGACCGTGGCCTCTACGAGGTCACCTTCACACCCTCGCAGGCTGCCAAGCACAAGATTTACGCTTATTTTAATGGCCACGAAGTCAAAGGTTGGTACTAGGTGATGCTAGAGTCCCAGGGTGCCTAGAGACGGTGTTGATAGTGTTAGATCCCAGGGTGCCTAGAGACGGTGTTGATAGTGTTAGATCCCAGGGTGCCTAGAGACGGTGTTGTTAGTGGTTAGATCCCAGGGTGCCTAGAGACGTTGTTGATAGTGTTAGATCCCAGGGTGCCTAGAGACGGTGTTGATAGTGTTAGATCCCAGGGTGCCTAGAGACGGTGTTTGATATTGTTAGATCCCAGGGTGCCTAGAGACGGTGTTGATAGTGTTAGATCCCAGGGTGCCTAGAGACGGTGTTTATAGTGTTAGATCCCAGGGTGCCTAGAGACGGTGTTGATAGTGTTAGATCCCAGGGTGCCTAGAGACGGTGTTGATAGTGTTAGATCCCAGGGTGCCTAGAGACGTTGTTGATAGTGTTAGATCCCAGGGTGCCTAGAGACGGTGTTGATAGTGTTAGATCCCAGGGTGCCTAGAGACGGTGTTGATAGTGTTAGATCCCAGGGTGCCTAGAGACGGTGTTGATAGTGTTAGATCCCAGGGTGCCTAGAGACGGTGTTCATAGTGTTAGATCCCAGGGTGCCTAGAGACGGTGTTGATAGTGATAGATCCCAGGGTGCCTAGAGACGGTGTTGATAGTGTTAGATCCCAGGGTGCCTAGAGACGGTGTTGATAGTGATAGATCCCAGGGTGCCTAGAGACGGTGTTGATAGTGATAGATCCCAGGGTGCCTAGAGACGGTGTTGATAGTGTTAGATCCCAGGGTGCCTAGAGGACGGTGTTGATAGTGATAGATACCAGGGTGCCTAGAGACGGTGTTTTATAGTGTTAGATCCCCGGGTGCCTAGAGACGGTGTTGATAGTGATAGATCCCAGGGTGCCTAGAGACGGTGTTGATAGTGATAGATCCCAGGGTGCCTAGAGACGGTGTTGATAGTGATAGATCCCAGGGTGCCTAAGACGGTGTTGATAGTGATAGATCCCAGGGTGCCTAGAGACGGTGTTGATAGTGATAGATCCCAGGGTGCCTAGAGACGGTGTTGATAGTGATAGATCCCAGGGTGCCTAGAGACGGTGTTGATAGTGATAGATCCCAGGGTGCCTAGAGACGGTGTTGATATGATAGATCCCAGGGTGCCTAGAGACGGTGTTGATAGTGATAGATCCCAGGGTGCCCTAGAGACGGTGTTGATAGTGTTCGATCCCAGGGTGCTAGAGACGTGTTGATAGTGATAGTCCCAGGGTGCCTAGAGACGGTGTTGATAGTGATAGATCCCAGGTTGCCTAGAGACCGGTGTTGATAGTGTTAGATCCCAGGGTGCCTAGAGACGGTGTTGATAGTGATAGATCCCAGGGTGCCTTAGAGACGGTGTTGATAGTGTTAGATCCCAGGGTGCCTAGAGACGGTGTTGATAGTGATAATCCCAGGGTGCCTAGAGACGGTGTTGATAGTGTTAGATCCCAGGGTTGCCTAGAGACGGTGTTGATAGTGATAGATCCCAGGGTGCCTAGAGACGGTGTTGATAGTGTATAGATCCCAGGGTGCCTAGAGACGGTGTTGATAGTGATTAGATCCCAGGGTGCCTAGAGACGGTGTTGATAGTGTTAGATCCCAGGGTGCCTAGAGACGGTGTTGATAGTGATTAGTCCCAGGTAGCCTAAGACGGTGTTGATAGTGTTAGATCCCAGGTGCCTAGAGACGTGTGAAGTTAGATCCAGGTGCCTAGAGACGGTGTTGATAGTGATAGATCCCAGGGTGCCTAGAGACGGTGTTGATAGTGTTAGATCCCAGGGTGCCTAGAGACGGTGTTGATAGTGATAGATCCCAGGGTGCCTAGAGACGGTGTTGATAGTGATAGATCCCAGGGTGCCTAGAGACGGTATTGATAGTGATAGATCCCAGGGTGCCTAGAGACGGTGTTGAATGTTAGATCCCAGGGTGCCTAGAGACGGTGTTGATAGTGATAGAATCCCAGGGTGCCTAGAGACGGTGTTGATAGTGTTGATCCCAGGGTGCCTAGAGACGGTGTTGATAGTGATAGATCCCAGGGTGCCTAGAGACGGTGTTGATAGTGTTAGATCCCAGGGTGCCTAGAGACGGTGTTGATAGTGATAGATCCCAGGGTGCCTAGAGACGGTGTTGATAGTGTTAGATCCCAGGGTGCCTAGAGACGGTGTTGATAGTGATAGATCACCCGGGTGCCTAGAGACGGTGTTGATAGTGTTAGATCCAGGGTGCCTAGAGACGGTGTTGATAGTGATAGATCCCAGGGTGCCTAGAGACGGTGTTGATAGTGTTAGATCCCAGGGTGCCTAGAGACGGTGTTGATAGTGTTAGATCCCAGGGTGCCTAGAGACGGTGTTGATAGTGTTAGATCCCAGGGTGCCTAGAGACGGTGTTGATAGTGATAGATACCAGGGTGCCTAGAGACGGTGTTGATAGTGTTAGATCCCAGGGTGCCTAGAGACGGTGTTGATAGTGATAGATCACAGGGTGCCTAGAGACGGTGTTGATAGTGATAGATCCCAGGGTGGGTGCTACCCAGAATTATTATAACACTATGCAGGAGAGTTAAAATAACTATGCAAACTTTAATATGTTGTCTTGTAACTTTACTAAGTAACATAATAACACTGAGAGACTTCACACTCTTTTATTAACACGAAGGTAACATTACCCACTTTTATAATAACACCAGGATAATATTTCCTTCTGTTATCGACAGAGAACGCTCACTGTTCTCTCCCCATGTTCATGTTCTCTCCCCAGGTTCACTGTTCTCTCTCCCGCCAGGTTTACTGTTTTACAGGTTCAGCGCTCTCCCCAAGTTCACTGTTCTCTATCCAGGTTCATTGTTCTCTCCCCATATCCACTGTTTTCTCCCCATGTTCAGTGTTCTCTCCCCATGTCCACTGTTCTCTCCCCATGTTCAGTGTTCTCTCCCCATGTTCAGTGTTCTCTCCCCATGTTCACTGTTCTCTCCCCATATTCAGTGTTCTCTCCCCATATTCAGTGTTCTCTCCCCATGTTCAGTGTTCTCTCCCCATGTTCAGTGTTCTCTCCCCATGTTCAGTGTTCTCTCCCCATATTCAGTGTTCTCTCCCCATGTTCACTGTTCTCTCCCCATATTCAGTGTTCTCTCACCATGTTCACTGTTCTCTCCCCATATTCAGTGTTCTCTCCCCATGTTCAGTGTTCTCTCCCCATGTTCACTGTTCTCTCACCATATTCAGTGTTCTCCCCATGTTCAGTGTTCTCTCCCCATGTTCACTGTTCTCTCCCCATATTCAGTGTTCTCTCCCCATATTCAGTGTTCTCTCCCCATGTTCAGTGTTCTCTCCCCATGTTCAGTGTTCTCTCCCCATATTCAGTGTTCTCTCCCCATATTCAGTGTTCTCTCCCCATATTCAGTGTTCTCTCCCCATATTCAGTGTTCTCTCCTCATATTCAGTGTTCTCTCCCCATATTCAGTGTTCTCTCCCCATATTCAGTATTCTCTCCCCATATTCAGTGTTCTCTCCCCATATTCAGTGTTCTCTCCCTATGTTCACTGTTCTCTCCCCATGTTCACTGTTCTCTCCCCATGTTCACTGTTCTCTCCCCATATTCAGTGTTCTCTCCCCATATTCAGTGTTCTCTCCCCATATTCAGTGTTCTCTCCCCATGCTCAGTGTTCTTTCCCCATGTTCACCGTTCTCTCCCCATGTTCACCGTTCTCTCCCCATGTTCACCGTTCTCTCCCCACGTTCACCGTTCTCTCCCCATGTTCAGTGTTCTTTCCCCATGTTCACCGTTCTCTCCCCATGTTCACCGTTCTCTTCCCCATGTTCACCGTTCTCTCCCCACGTTCACCGTTCTCTCCCCACGTTCAGTGTTCTTTCCCCATGTTCACTGTTCTCTCCCCATATTCAGTGTTCTTTCCCCATGTTCACCGTTCTCTCCCCATATTCACTGTTCTCTCCCGATGTTCACCGTTCTCTCCCCATGTTCACCGTTCTCTCCCCATGTTCACCGTTCTCTCCCCATGTTCACCGTTCTCTCCCCATGTTCAGTGTTCTTTCCCCATGTTCACTGTTCTCTCCCCATATTCAGTGTTCTCTCCCCATGTTCAATGTTCTCTCCCCATGTTCAGTGTTCTCTCCCCATATTCAGTGTTCTCTCCCCATATTCAGTGTTCTCTCCCCATATTCAGTGTTCTCTCTCTCCATGTTCAGTGTTCTTTCCCCATGTTCACCGTTCTCTCCCCATGTTCACCGTTCTCTCCCCATGTTCACCGTTCTCTCCCCATGTTCAGTGTTCTTTCCCCATGTTCACTGTTCTCTCCCCATGTTCAGTGTTCTCTCCCCATATTCAGTGTTCTCTCCCCATGTTCAGTGTTCTCTCCCCATATTCAGTGTTCTCTCCCCATGTTCACCGTTCTCTCCCCATGTTCACCGTTCTCTCCCCATGTTCACCGTTCTCTCCCCATGTTCACCGTTCTCTCCCCATGTTCACCGTTCTCTCCCCATGTTCACCGTTCTCTCCCCATGTTCACCGTTCTCTCCCCATGTTCATCGTTCTCTCCCCATGTTCAGTGTTCTCTCCCCATGTTCACTGTTCTCTCCCCATGTTCAGTGTTCTCTCCCCATGTTCAGTGTTCTCTCCCCATATTCAGTGTTCTCTCCCCATGTTCAGTGTTCTCTCCCCATGTTCACCGTTCTCTCCCCATGTTCACCGTTCTCTCCCCATGTTCACCGTTCTCTCCCCATGTTCACCGTTTCTCTCCCATGTTCACCGTTCTCTCCCCATGTTCACTGTTCTCTCCCCATGTTCAGTGTTCTCTCCCCATGTTCAGTGTTCTCTCCCCGTATTCAGTGTTCTCTCCCCATGTTCAGTGTTCTCCCCATGTTCACCGTTCTCTCCCCATGTTCACCGTTCTCTCCCCATGTTCACCGTTCTCTCCCCATGTTCACCGTTCTCTCCCCATGTTCAGCGTTCTCTCCCCCCCATGTTCACCGTTCTCTCCCCATGTTCACCGTTCTCTCCCCATGTTCACCGTTCTCTCCCCCCAGGTTCACCCTTCTCACTGCACTTGGGAGTTGAACCTCCGCCTGACAGGAAGGACTCAAAGTCAAAGAAGAAAAAATCTTCCAGTAGAGAAAACAAAGATCCCAAGGTGAGCTCTAATTGTGTGACTGTGTGACTGTGTGCGTGACTGTGTGTGTGACTGTGTGTGTGACTGTGTGACTGTGTGACTGTGTGACTGTGTGTGTGTGACTGTGTGTGTGACTGTGTGACTGTGTGACTGTGTGACTGTGTGCGTGACTGTGTGTGTGACTGTGTGCGTGACTGTGTGTGTGACTGTGTGTGTGACTGTGTGTGTGACTGTGTGACTGTGTGACTGTGTGACTGTGTGTGTGACTGTGTGTGTGACTGTGTGTGTGACTGTGTGTGTGACTGTGTGACTGTGTGTGTGACTGTGTGTGTGACTGTGTGCGTGACTGTGTGTGTGACTGTGTGCGTGACTGTGTGTGTGACTGTGTGACTGTGTGCGTGACTGTGTGTGTGACTGTGTGACTGTGTGTGTGACTGTGTGTGTGACTGTGTGCGTGACTGTGTGTGTGACTGTGTGCGTGACTGTGTGTGACTGTGTGTGTGACTGTGTGTGTGACTGTGTGTGTGACTGTGTGCGTGACTGTGTGACTGTGTGCGTGACTGTGTGTGTGACTGTGTGCGTGACTGTGTGTGTGCGTGACTGTGTGTGTGACTGTGTGACTGTGTGTACTCACCTAGTTGTACTCACCTAGTTGAGGTTGCGGGAGTCGAGTCCGAGCTCCTGGCCCCGCCTCTTCACTGATCGCTACTAGGTCACTCTCCCTGAGCCGTGAGCTTTATCATACCTCTGCTTAAAGCTATGTATGGATCCTGCCTCCACTACATCGCTTCCCAAACTATTCCACTTACTGACTACTCTGTGGCTGAAGAAATACTTCCTAACATCCCTGTGATTCATCTGTGTCTTCAGCTTCCAACTGTGTCCCCTTGTTACTGTGTCCAATCTCTGGAACATCCTGTCTTTGTCCACCTTGTCAATTCCTCTCAGTATTTTGTATGTCGTTATCATGTCCCCCCTATCTCTCCTGTCCTCCAGTGTCGTCAGGTTGATTTCCCTTGACCTCTCCTCGTAGGACATACCTCTTAGCTCTGGGACTAGTCTTGTTGCAAACCTTTGCACTTTCTCTCGTTTCTTTACGTGCTTGGCTAGGTGTGGGTTCCAAACTGGTGCCGCATACTCCATATGGGCCTAACGTACACGGTGTAACAGGGTCCTAAATTTGATTCCTTATTAAGATGTCGGAATGCTGTTCTGAGGTTTGCTAGGCGCCCATATGCTGCAGCAGTTATTTGGTTGATGTGCGCTTCAGGAGATTTGCCTGGTGTTATACTCACCCCAAGATCTGTTTCCTTGAGTGAGGTTTGTAGTCTCTGACCCCCTAGACTGTTCTCCGTCTGCGGCCTTCTTTGCCCTTCCCCAATCTTCATGACTTTGCATTTGGTGGGATTGAACTCCAGGAGCCAATTGCTGGACCAGGTCTGCAGCCTGTCCAGATCCTTTGTAGTTTCTGCTGGTCTTCGATCGAGTGAATTCTTCTCATCAACTTCACGTCATCTGCAAACAGGGACACCTCAGAGTCTATTCCTTCCCTCATGTCGTTCACAAATACCAGAAACAGCACTGGTCCTAGGACTGACCCCTGTGGGACCCGCTGGTCACAGGTGCCCACTCTGACACCTCGCCACGTACCATGACTCGCTGCTGTCTTCCTGACAAGTATTCCCTGATCCATTGTAGTGCCTTCCCTGTTATCCCTGCTTGGTCCTCCAGTTTTTGCACCAATCTCTTGTGTGGAACTGTGTCAAACGCCTTCTTGCAGTCCAAGAAAATGCAATCCACCCACCCCTCTCTCTCTTGTCTTACTGCTGTCACCATGTCATAGAACTCCAGTAGGTTTGTGACACAGGATTTCCCGTCCCTGAAACCATGTTTGGCTGCTGTTGATGAGATCATTCCTTTCTAGGTGTTCCACCACTCTTCTCCTGATAATTTTTCCATGATTTTGCATACTATACATGTCAGTGACACTGGTCTGTAGTTTAATGCTTCATGTCTGTCTCCTTTTTTAAAGATTGGGACTACATTTGCTGTCTTCCATGCCTCAGGCAATCTCCCTGTTTCGATAGATGTATTGAATATTGTTGTTAGGGGTACACATAGCGCCTCTGCTCCCTCTCTCAATACCCATGGGGAGATGTTATCTGGCCCATTGCCTTTGAGGTATCTAGCTCACTCAGAAGCCTCTTCACTTCTTCCTCGGTTGTGTGCACTGTGTCCAGCACTTGGTGGTGTGCCCCACCTCTCCGTCTTTCTGGAGTCCCTTCTGTTCCTCTGTGAACACTTCTTTGAATCTCTTGTTGAGTTCTTCACATACTTCACGGTCATTTCTTGTTGTCTCTCCTCCTTCCTTCCTTAGCCTGATTACCTGGTCCTTGACTGTTGTTTTCCTCCTGATGTGGCTGTACAACAGTTTCGGGTCAGATTTGGCTTTCGCTGCTATGTCATTTTCATATTGTCTTTGGGCTCCCTTCTTATCTGTGCATATTCGTTTCTGGCTCTACGACTGTTCTCCTTATTCTCCTGGGTCCTTTGCCTTCTATATTTCTTCCATTCCCTAGCACACTTGGTTTTTGCCTCCCTGCACCTTTGGGTAAACCATGGGCTCATCCTGGCTTTTTCATTAATCCTGTTACCCTTGGGTACAAACCTCTCCTCAGCCTCCTTGCATTTTGTTGCTACATATTCCATCATCTCATTAACTGGCTTCCCTGCCAGTTCTGTCCCACTGAACCCCGTTCAGGTAGTTCCTCATTCCTGTGTAGTCCCCTTTCTTGTAGTTTGGCTTCATTCGTCCTGGCCTTCCTGCTTCTCCCTCCACTTGTAGCTCTACTGTGTATTCGAAGCTTAAAACCACATGGTCACTGGCCCCAAGGGGTCTTTCATATGTGATGTCCTCGATATCTGCACTACTCAAGGTGAATACTAAGTCCAGCCTTGCTGGTTCATCCTCTCCTCTCTCTCTTGTAGTGTCCCTTACGTGTTGGCACATGAAGTTTTCCAGTACCACCTCCATCATCTTAGCCCTCCATGTATCTTGGCCCCCATGTGGGTCCAAGTTCTCCCAATCGATCTCCTTGTGGTTAAAGTCACCCATGATCAGGAGCTTTGCCCTGCATGCATGAGCTCTTCTGGCCACTCTAGCCAGTGTGTCAACCATCGCTCTATTGCTCTCGTCGTACTCTTGCCTTGGCCTCCTGCTGTTCTGTGGTGGGTTATACATCACTGCTATTACCACCTTGGGACCTCCAGAGTGAAGTGTTCCCACTATGTAATCACTTTCTTCTCCACTGTCTCCTCTCTCCAGCTCATCAAAATTCCAGTGATTTTTGATCAGCAACGCCACTCCTCCACCCCCCCTGTTCCCTCTGTCTTTCCTCAGGATTTGGTATCCCGTTGGAAAGATGGCATCTGTTATCATACCTGTAAGCTTGGTTTCTGTGAGAGCTATGATGTCCGGTGATGCTTCTTTGACTCTTTCATGCCACTCCTCCCACTTATTTGTTATTCCATCAGCGTTTGTGTACCATACCTTCAGTTTCCTTTCCAACACTGTGGTTTGGGGGGCCTGTGAGGGTGGGAGACCTGTGTGTGACTGTGTGTGTGACTGTGTGTTACTGTGTGACGGTGTGTGTGACTGTGTGTGTGACTGTGTGTGTGACTGTGTGTGTGACTGTGTGTGTGTGTGTGACTGTGTGTGTGACTGTGTGTGTGACTGTGTGCGTGACTGTGTGTGTGTGTGACTGTGTGGCTGTGTGACTGTGTGTGTGTGACTGTGCGACTGTGTGCGTGACTGTGTGTGTGACTGTGCGACTGTGTGCGTGACTGTGTGTGTGTGTGTGTGTGTGTGTGTGTGTGTGTGACTGTGTGGCTGTGTGACTGTGTTGTGGCTGTGTGACTGTGTGTGTGACTGTGTGGCTGTGTGACTGTGTGACTGTGTGTGTGACTGTGTGACTGTGTGTGTGACTGTGCGACTGTGTGCGTGACTGTGTGTCACTGTGCGACTGTGTTCGTGACTGTGTGTGTGTGTGTGTGTGTGTGACTGTGTGACTGTGTGGCTGTGTGACTGTGTGTATGACTGTGTGGCTGTGTGTGTGACTGTGTGACTGTGTGTGTGACTGTGCGACTGTGTGTGTGTGTGTGTGTGTGTGTGTGTGTGTGTGTGACTGTGTGGCTGTGTGACTGTGTGACTGTGTGTGTGGCTGTGTGTGTGGCTGTGTGACTGTGTGTGTGACTGTGTGACTGTGTGGCTGTGTGACTGTGTGACTGTGGTGTGTGACTGTGCGACTGTGTGCGTGACTGTGTGTGTGTGTGACTGTGTGTGTGTGTGTGACTGTGTTTGTGATTGTGGGACTGTGTGGCTGTGTGTGACTGTGTGTTGTGACTGTGTGACTGTGTGGCTGTGTGACTGTGTGGCTGTGTGACTGTGTGTGTGGTGTGTGTGACTGTGTTTGTGACTGTGGGACTGTGTGACTGTGTGGCTGTGTGTGTGACTGTGTGACTGTGTGTGTGACTGTGTGACTGTGTGTGTGACTGTGTGACTGTGTGTGTGTGACTGTGTTTGTGATGTGGGACTGTGTGACTGTGTGTGTGGCTGTGTGTGTGACTGTGTGACTGTGTGTGTGACTGTGTGTGTGACTGTGACTGTGTGACTGTGTGTGTGACTGTGTGGCTGTGTGACTGTGTGTGTGTGACTGTGTTTGTGACTGTGTGTCTGTGTGACTGGGTTTGTGACTGTGGGACTGTGTGACTGTGTGTGTGACTGTGTGGCTGTGTGACTGTGTGTGTTGACTGTGTGTGTGACTGTGTGTGTGTGTGTGACTGTGTTTGTGATTGTGGGACTGTGTGGCTGTGTGTGACTGTGTGTGTGACTGTGTGACTGTGTGGCTGTGTGACTGTGTGGCTGTGTGACTGTGTGTGTGTGTGTGTGACTGTGTTTGTGACTGTGGGACTGTGTGACTGTGTGGCTGTGTGTGTGACTGTGTGACTGTGTGTGTGACTGT